TATAGATTACACTGGGGACAAAAGAGAGCAGAATGTGGCTCCTAAAATCATTTGATCAACATTGGAAGAGTATGAAGCTGATTTTTGTCTCATAGAGTCTCATAGACTTTAAGGTCAGAAGGGACCGTTATGATCATCTAGTCTAACCCCCTGCACAATGCAGGCCACAGAATCTCACCCACCCACTCCTGGAATAATCCTCTCACCTATATCTCAGATATTGAAGTCCTCAAATGGAATATAGACCCCAAGATGCAGAGAATCCTCCAGCAGTGATCCATGCCCCATGCTACAGAGGAAGGCAAAAAACCTCCAAGGCCTCTGCCAATCTACCCTGGAGGAAAATTCCTTCCCGACTCCAAATATGGCAATCAGCTGAACCCTGAGCATGTGGGCAAGACTCACCAGCCAGACACCCAGGAAAAGTGCTCTATAGTAACTCCTATCATCCCTCCATTGGTCTTTTTACCACTGATAATGAAAGGTCAATTAGTTACCAAGATCATGCTATCCCATCAAATCATCCCTTTCATAAACTCATCTAGCTTAATCTTGAAGCCAGATAGGTCTTTTGCCCCCACTACTTCCCTTGGAAGGCTGTTCCAGAACTTCACTCCTCTAATGGTTAGAATCCTTCATCTAATTTCAAGTCTATACTTCCTAATAGCCAGCTTATATCCATTTGTTCTTGTGTTCACATTGGTATTGAGCTTAAATAATTCCTCTCCCTCCCTGGTATTTATCCCTCTAATATATTTAATGAGAGCAATCATGTCTCCCCTCAGCCTTCTTTTGGTTAAGGTAAACAATCCAAGCTCCTTGAGTTTCCTTTCATAAGACAGGTTTTCCATTCCTCGGATCATCCTAGTGGCCCTTCTTTGTACCTGTTCCAATTTGAATTCATCCTTCTTAAACATGGGAGACCAGAACTGCACACAGTATTCCAAATGAGGTCTCACCAATGCCTTGTATAACAGCACTAACACCTCCTTATCCCTACTGGAAATACCTCGTCTAATGCATCCCAAGACCGTATTAACCTTTTTCACTGCCATGTCACAATGGCGGCTTATAGTCATCCTATGATCAACCAGGACTCCGAGGTCCTTCTCCTCTTCTGTTACTTCCAACTGATGTGTCCCCATCTTATAACTAAAATTCTTATTATTAATCCCTAAGTGCATAACCTTACACTTCTCACTATTAAATTTCATCCTATTGCTATCACTCCAATTTACAAGATCATCCAGATCTTCCTGTATGATATCCTAATCCTTTTCTGAATTGGCAAAACCTCCCAACTTTGTGTCATCTGCAAACTTTATTAGGACACTCCCACTTTTGGTGCCAAGGTCAGTAATAAAAAGATTAAATAAGATTGGTCCCAAAACTGATCCCTGAGGAACTCTGCTAGTAACCTCCCTCCAACCTGACAGTTCACCTTTCAGTATGACCCGCTGTAGTCTCCCCTTTAACCAGTTGCTTATCCACCTCTCAATTTTCATATTGATCCCCATCTTTTCCAATTTAACCAATAATTCCCCATGTGATACTATATCAAATGCCTTGCTAAAATGGAGGTAGATTAGATCCACTGCATTTCCTTTATCTAAAAAATCTGTTACTTTCTCAAAAAAGGAGATCAGGTTGGTTTTGTCCTTCTCAGTTTGTATTCACAATTCCACATAGTACTTATATAAACCCCAGCCTGATGCTAACTGCAATAAGCCATCATGAACAGTGGTTTGCATCAGCTTCACAATCCATTGGCTCACACTGGATAGGTATTTCGGACTAATGCAAATAATCAAGCTGTGTGTTTGTAACACAGTAGCTATTCAACCAGCCTGAAGAAAGCTGAAATACAGTCCATTGCCATTAAGTGGTTAGTATGGAATACAAAATGGGTGGAGAAGGCAAGCATGTCTGCTAAGGTGTATGGGGGCTTCTCCACGTAATAGTTGGAACCAACTGTCATTCACCCTTTTAGTTATTTTGGTACAAGTCTGTGTATAGACATTCTTATTTCAGTCTAAGAGTGCCCTATTTCCATGTAGTTTGTTGGTTAAATATTCATAAGTTGCATTAAAATATTATTCTCTGATAACAATGTTTAAGGGTATGTCTACACTTGCCCCCTAGTTCGAACTAAGGAGGCAAATGAAGCATACCGAAGTTGCTAATGAAGCGCGGGACTTAAATATCCCACGCTTCATTAGCATATTCGTGGCCGGTTGCCAATTTAAAATGCCGGTATCCTGAATTAACTTGTCATGTGTAGACATGGTAGTCCAATTCAAAACCCTTCCCTCAAATTAACTGTTCCCTCGAATTAATGAGGAGTATTTTTTTGCCACCTACATCACTGTAAGAAGGATTGTGCTCAGTACTACCATCAAGACTGTTAGGGTATGTCTACACTACCACCCTAGTTCGAACTCCATGCCGCACGGCTACACGCGGCATGGACTAGGTAGTTCGGACTAGGAAGCCTAGGCGTGTAGCCGCGCGGCACGGAGTCCGCACTAGCGGACATTTAAAAATGGCGGCGCCCGGCTTTATGCAAATGAAGCCCGGGAAATTAAAATCCCGGGCTTCATTTGCAACTCCGGTTGCCTACATTACCACCCTACTTCGAACTAGGGTGGTAGTGTAGACATACCCCTAATGATTAAAAATGAATAATGATGATGTGTAATTTTTATTTATTCCTTGTATTGCTGTAGAACCCAGAAACCCCACTCTCTGCTTAAGGAGAAGCAAAGGTTGGAATAGCAGAGTTGTATGTCAGTAATGAATCATAGTAGGGAAGCTTACAGTGAGCCTGCCATACCCCCTCACACCCATGTTAATTGTCCTTTGCTTGTATAAATATTACCTTTAGCCACAGAGATCTCTAACATCAGAACTTTGGGCTTAAATAGAAATTAGTCAAGCTTAGCATATGTGAAATAATACCTGTTTTTTGATTTTGTAAAAAAAGTACCATTCTTTATGCATATTAGGTCAGATCCCTCAGTATGGTAAAGCTACCTTGTAATACTCTGATGGTGAAAGCAGCCCTAAAACTGACAGATTCTGCCACTTCAGCATCCTCTGCCTATGGAATCTTTTGGCTTGTGATAAGACATCGTTAGTGGCCTTTTTGCTTCTTGCCCTGCAGGAGTCTGATGCAGGAGACTTGGCAATTGAAAAGATAGACTGGCTGAGGCCCTCTGCAGTCAGCAGCCATCCATGTATATTAAAGCATCCCTGAGATACCAACACTACTATGGGAAGAAAACTTGTGCGAAATTTGAATGAAAAAAACTTCAGTACTTGTTATGAACACATCTCAGATCTAAGATGTCACCCTTAGGCCTAGTCAACCCTGGGAGTTTAGGTCGAACTTCACTGCATTAGGTCAATTTTCTAAACAATGAGTCCACACCACCAAGCCCGTTCTGTCAATTTTAAGGGCTGCTACAGTTGATTTCGGTACTGCTGCTTTTCGCGAGGAGTAAATGCTAAATTCAACCTCGCATGATCTACTTTACAGCAGTGGAGATGCAGCTCTGTGAAAGTCAATGCTCTTGGACTCTGGGAGATATCCCGCAGTGCCCTGCTGTGACCACTCTGTCCAGGACTTTCAACTCTGCTGCTCTCCAGGTGCACAGAGGGGAATAATCATATAACATATGTGGAGTCTAATTGTGAAGGAAAAAGTCTGAAGCTCAGCACATGTATCAAAGGGTCCCAAGGTCTATTTTTACTTGAGGCACATTGAAGACCATTCATTGCTCACTTTGGTTTGTTCCACCACATTTTGTACGTAGACTAAATCCTATATGTACATTGTACAGCCTGCTGTGTGCTAGATTTCTTAGAGTGGGAATGAAAACATTAAGGGCCAAATTCTGCACTATTACACCCCAGGAAACCCCAATGGCTTCATTGACATTTTCATGGATGTAGTTGAGGGGCTAGAGCCAGATCTAAACACATTTTAAATCAAAGGGGATCTTTTCATGTGCTTCAATGGACTATGGATCTCACTTGGTATTTAACTAAAGAGACCAGCAGCTGTACTGAGGTCTGTGTAGAAAGTCCCAGATAGCCTTTCTGAGCATGACTGGGTGTTGTGTAAAACCAGGGTTAGATTATTTTGGAGTTCTCAATCCTATGACTGGTCCAATGTCCTGTGGAGGGGACATATTACATATCACTCTTTCTGTAATGGGAAAGGTACCCCAAGTACACAGTCATACCAACTTCAGAATTATTACTATCCATAAATATTATCTCAGCTCAAAGGCTTGTTAGGCAGATGCACATCTGTGTCTGCATGAAGCCCAGACAAAGGTAATGCAGCTCTTCATGAGCTCAGGAGTCTTCCTGCCATGGTTCTACTTACGGGATTAGGATTCAATGCCTGTTTCTATTTAAAGGGTTCATAGTTATTGTCTTCACTCAGACAAACTCTAACAGATTACATGTGAGTTTTGTTTGAGTAACCAGAGTGGTGTCGGATTCTAAGAAATCCTCATTTAAGACAATAAAGAAAATTGAAATCACAAAAAATAAAGCAATTCAGTGCAGCATTTCTAAATGCCCTCTATTACTACAGGGTGCTAATTGCAAAAGACGCTTACATAAATACTTCTGCTGAAACACATCCATGAACTATATACAGTTTTGATTTTGCACTCAATCTTATGATATTTCCAAATAAGAAATGTTTATTAGTTTGACCATCCTAAGCCATTTACTGGGGGATTCCTGACTGCAGCTGATCTAGCCATCACAAACTGATCAATGACATTTTTTTCTTTTCGATGACAGTTGAGAATTATTTTCCAGTGTGGGCACGAACAGTGTGTTGCAAAAATGACCATCCGGAACTGAACAAGGTATTTTCCAATAATCAGACTCCAAATAACTGACTGTCTAATGCATGCTGGTAGAACATTAACAGAGGTTATTGGTCGTCATGGTAAAATCAGAGGTTGGTCTGAATGTAATCTCATTTATAGGGGTTCAGAAAATTGACATCATGGCAGTGAGAGCTTATAAATATCTGGAGCACTGGCTTCCTCACAGACTGCCACTGCTCTCAAGGAAACATACCATAGGCTGAATGCCCCGAGGGCAAAACAAAATTGGATTTTGCAAATTACACTGAGACGCTCCTGTTTAAAACACAGACAAGAATCTGGGAAGGGGTTTTCATTTTCCTTTGGTTTAGTCTGTAATTTTGTTTAGAAAGCATGTGCACCGGAGGTTGTGCCAAATGCCTTGGAATCACCCTCATTCCTCTGGCTGTGCTGTGCACACTAGCTAACATTTTGCTGTTTTTCCCTGGAGGAAAAGTCATCAACAATAATGAAAATATCACAGAAGAAGTCTGGTACTTTGGAGGGATCTTGGGATCTGGTGTATTGGTGAGTAGACAAATCGTGAATATATTATTTTTCTTTTATAAAATAAAAAGTTGGGTTTTATTGTAATTCCTCTGTGCTTCAAACACAAGACAAGTGATTTGTGAATGGCTCTTAATTGTGTTGTTTGTTTAAAAGTAAATGGTCAGTTTAAAACTTATTTTGATTTAGTATTTAAAAATTCATTTAGTGTTAAGAAAAATAGGACCCTGGGTTAAAGCATAAGATTAATCCAACCTCACTGAAGTGTGCTTTTTATTGTTGGTAGATGATCTTTCCTGCCTTGGTGTTTTTGGGCCTTAAGAATAATGATTGTTGTGGATGCTGTGGTAACGAAAGCTGTGGGAAGAGGTTTGCGGTAAGTGGAAAAGAAGGAGGTGGCCAAAAAAAGGCCAAAAGGTCACATACAATGAAATTTATATCATGTCTGACCATTTATATTTATGATGTTCTAGATTGTGAACATGTAGTGCATGTGTTTGTTGTCCATAGTATGAAGTCCAAAATCCTGCTATTTCTTCATGCCTTAAGTCAAGGATTATTGCTGTGCCAAGATGTTGTACCAAGACCCCTTCCTAGTGCCAAATCACTTTTATCATGGTGCCTTGTTGGCATGCCAAAAGCATTACAATTGTAGCTATGACATAGCTTTTTAACCATGGCTATCAATATAACCGATTTCCTAAAGACCTGCATTTTGCTTTTCTTAGACGATAGGACAATTATTATTTTTTCTTTTTTGACAAATGTCTTTTGCTCCATTATAGTCAGAGCACAGCTCTACTATAGAAGCTACACAATATGTGATACAGATCTTCTGAAAAATATTACAGCTGTTTCCATAGTACATTTATTTCTTCCTTTTAGCAAATCTACATCACATCATAAGAACTGCCCCGATAATATTAAAGAAAGTGTTCAAAGGGGATGCTATACAGAACATAGAACAGCAAAGTAATAGGTTAAAGTAACAGTTCACTGAAAGCAGTGGTGTTGTAGCTGTGTTAGTCCCAGGATATTAGAGAGACAGGGCAGGTGAGAGAGTGTCTTTTATTGGACCAACTTCTGTTGATGAGAGAGACAAGCTTTTGAGCAACACAGAGCTCTTCTCCAGGTCTCAAAGAACAGGAGCACAAGAATAAGAGCTCTGTGTAAGCTCAAAAGCTTGCCACACTCGCCAACTGTTGTTGATCTGATACAAGATAATACCTCACCCACCTACTCTCTCAGTGTGATGAAAGGTAGCTGACTGGCAGCAGGTGGGGCATATACACTGGTTGCTTCTAAATATGATTCAAGCAGTACTGTGAACCTCACAACGAAGTTTAAAAGTACTCAGTATCAGTGCCAAGGATAGGGAGGGGACAGAAGCAGTTTGCAGGACTGTCTCGTAAGGGGACAGGAAATGCTGTATTTCAAATGGAGGCAGGTCCAAACATCCCTCTTCCTCTGAGTCTGGCCAGAAAATCCCTTCACTGCTTCACTGCCACATTTTGGGGAGCTGGGATTCCCAGTCCAGTTCAAACTTTTACAATAATGGGCTACATTAAAAATACAGATCCCTTCCAAACACCCTGATGACGTTGAAGAATTTTAGCTCTGGAGCCAAATGTGAAGCTGAACTTCTTAGCTTAGGCTCATTTCTAATTTCAGATATCACTTCCTCCATCTTGCACTGTGGAGGGGTGGGCCAGCTATCATAGGAGATGGTGTAGCTGGCCTACCTTCATCAGCTTTGTACGGGAGGAGAATATTTCTATATAAGGAAATCAGCCTTAGCGGGCTAGAGAATTTGGTCCAGAATCTTTGTAGAAGAATTGCACGTCTCATATTCCGTGCTCTAGAATGGGCCAGATTCTGATCGCAATAGCATAGTGTAAATCCAGAATAACTACCCAAAAAACCATTACTCCAAATCTGAATGCCTTCCATTAGCATATTAAGCAATGTGACTACACATATTGTTTGCTCTCTCATCCTCTTCCCAGGGTGCACATTAAGAACCACTAGCACAATCTCACAGGGGTATACATAGTCTTGTTGTTTTAACAAAGGTTCTGTATAGGTGCAGAGGGTTGCACTAGTGGATCCTTGGGCAGGTTCAGGGTCTAAGTGAAATATTTCTTCTTTATTGTTAACTTAATGCTGGTGGGAGTTAGTTAAGCATAGAAGCCACACATTCCATGCCACAACATCTTACTGCCCATTTTTTGTCACAACCATTTATTTTCCTAACTCAGTTCAGCTGTTGGAGAGCTTTTATATCTATCCCGTATTTTGAAGTGTTAAATACATGCCATGCTTTGTCATTTCATGCAGGCAACATGGTTGAATTTAGCTAGATTGCATGGGTATAATTGAGATCAGCATTTGTCCTTTCGTGTTAATTTGAACACAAGGCTTATGTGATGGTATTAATATTGTTCTGGAATGATTTAAAGATGTGATTATATGAAGGTAACACAATGTTTTTGAAGTGCAAAGTTTTTGGGTTTTAAAAGGCTCCTTTATCATCATGAAGAATGCCAGAATGACCTCTTTGGAAAAGCAAGTCCTCATTTTGCCACAGAACAGACTCAAGATGAGTAGTAGAAGTACATGCTTCAATATACTTTCCCACCAATGTATTTCAGCTCTGTTCTAAAAAGGCCTTAACCATGTGGTGTAATATTGGTGTTCATACCTCATGTCCATTCAGTCCTTGGTCTCTTTACTGAAAATGCCATCTCTGAGTTGGTGCCAGCTGTGCTCTGGGTTATGATGAGCACAATTACACAACAGGAAATAAACATGTGAAAGGGAGGGGAAATGTAGGGAGGTGGACTATAATTCACTGTGCTGAAATTTGGTCAGATCACCAAAATTCACAATTCTGCTCTTGTAAAATGCAGCACTAGCACCTTCATAGAAGGTTGGGACTTCAGGTTTGACCATGATCTCATCTGACAAAACTTTGAGGGGCACCCTACCCCAGGGTTAGTACTGATTCAGGGATGAAAGCCAATTACTGAAACCCCACTACCTGTAGTATCAAGGTATTCCTCAGAGGGCTCCCATGCAAACACTACTCTAGCCTCACTTGGTTTAGGTTTCTAAGGGCCAATGAGAACTGCAGCATGAAGTGGAATGCCTGCAGACATGCAATGTACTTTAGACTCTAGCTACATAACGCATTTATTTTAACTGTTTGGGAAGCAGGGATGAGGCTGCACTACACTTAAGCAGGATTCATTGAATTGTTTGTAAGCAGTCAAGCATAACTTGGCATCTTTTTCTGTCTCCATCAGATGTTTACTTCTATCATATTTGCTGCAGTTGGACTTGTGGGAGCTGGATACTGCTTTATTGTGTCAGCAGTTGCTATAAATAAAGGCCCTAAGTGTGAGAATGGAAATCAATGGAGCTATCCATTTGAGAATGGGTAAGAAATGGTACTGTGCCATGCATGGGCTACCTAGAAAAGAAGTGATATATTCACTCATTGAAGTGCTACTGCAATAAGGATGTTTGTGATGTCATTTCTAGCTCTAATTTTGGTGTGTAAAAAGGGAATCACACACAATCACATTACTGCGACTGCAGTGTGGCTGCCTGTTGTGTGAAGCCCATTACTATTGCTGTGCACTGTTACATAGCTACACAATATTCTAGAATAGGGGTGGCCAACCAGTTAGAGATAGATAAATAGATATAGTACACAAAATGTAGTGATAAAAATAACACTACAGAACATTTTGGACAAAAAACAAAAAAAAAGTCTCTAGTCATTTAAAAAATTCATGGCCAGTCTATAGATCTTCAGAGAACTTGACGAGGAACAAACATCAAATTACAAAAAAAAAACAAAAACAAAAAAAAAACCTTTAAAAATACAATAACATTCTCTCACTAAAAAAAAGCATCCCCACCATGCATTTTAAATTTAACACTACTGCCATATTATGTCCTATGAGTTTTTCAAAATTAAGCTGAACCAAGAAGTTAAAGAGCACAATTTTAAGTGCCTGTTTCACTCCAGCTTCTTGATCTCTAGTACAGTTTCCCTTTTTTTTTTCTTTTACTTATGAAGATTATGACTTTTATATAGTTCTAAAATTTCAGGTCTGTCCCAGACTGCAAATATGAGAGGTTCAAAAACAATAAGGGAGAGACTCATATCTCAGAATAATTGCTTCAGCCTGACAAACAATAGTCTTTTAATTTTCTTTAAAGAAACATAACGTAAACCAGGTACATGCTGGTTCTTTTTTTGCCCTGGAATTTAAATATGACATCTGTGTTGGCTGCCTTGTTCTGCATCCATGAAGACTTTGAGTTTAAGTCGCTTCAGCCCCTCCTCCCTCAGCTCTAACCCAATGCCCTCCCTCTCCCCCTCCCCCAGAGCCAGGCACTCCCAGCCCCCAATATAACCCAATGCCTTCCCTTTCCCCCAGAGCCAGGCATCCACAGTCCCTCTGCTCTAACCCAATGCACCAACCCCTAGCCCAGAGCCAGGCAGCCCCAGATTCTTTAACACCCTGGATCTCACTGGACCTGCCGTTGCAGCCCCGCGCTTTTCCTCCAGGCTCTGGGAAATGTGTTCAGAGCGGCCATGAACTGTCCAGGCACACAACTCTGAAAGACAATCGAACTTTCCCTTGAAGGCAGGTGCTTCCGCCCCCTCCCTGAATCCTGGACGTTGTTTGTGTTTTAAAAAAGCCGTCCGGCTGGCAATTTAACATGGGCAAATGATGACATGTCTGGGGAAAAAAATGGACGTATGGTAACCCTAAAGAGCTGCATTTCTATGAGCAAAGAGCTGCATGCAGCTTGAGAGCCACGTGTTGGCCACCCCCAACTTAAACGCTTTTAGTAAACATATACTATGAAAGTGCCAATAAAATTGTTCAATGTGACTTTTATCTGGCCATGAGCAGTCTGGGAGTTCGGCTCAGAACTAACAAGAGCTGCATTTCTTTAAGCAAAGAGCCGCATGTGGCTTGAGAGCCGCGGGTTGGCTACCCGTTCTAGAATAAGAATATCAGCTGAAACTGGAGGTTCCAGAAAGTCCCATTTAAGATACATTTACTTCTTGTCAGTTTATTCCTTAGATTTTTAAAGCAGTATGTGGGGATAGACCAGAGGTGGGGAACCTAAGGCCCAGGGGCTGGATGCAACTCCCAAGTTGCCAGGATCTGGTTCCCAAGGCTCAGGCCCCCCCTCCCATTGCTTTGGGGAGCCCACACTGCTGCTCCAGTCTTTGAATCCTCCCCCTGCGTGGCTGGAGCATACAATCTACTAGCCTGGGCTCTGGTGTTCGAGGGAAATGCAGAGAGTATCTCTCTGCTTCTCAGTCGGGGGCCACGTCAGTGAGGGTTTGGTTGGTCATTTTTTTGACTCGCACTTGTGTGTGGTCCTAACTGATTTTTCTGTGGATCAGCAGCCCACAACACAAAAAAAGTTCCCCTCCCCCTTGTCTAGACTATAGTCATATGACCAGTGCCGGACCGAGCCATAGTTGGGTTCTGGGCAGTGGGTGCGTGGTACATGCACGGCCCCGGGTGCACAGCGCCCCTTAGCACTTCAATCAGGTGCTCCCCATAGGTTGGTGCCCTGGCAGCTGCCCGGCTAGCCCGCCCCCCCCCCCATTAATCCGGCCCTGCATATGACTAAGTTATCTTTAGTCTTTAGATTTAGTGGGAATCTAAGATCTGAATCTGATTTTATTCATATGTAAGTTAGTCTTTATGTAATTTTATTCTGGCCATGGAAATGGAGGAAGTTGTCCACACTATGCAGTTGAAACTTCTTGGGTGTAATGCATATGTGTCACTTGTTCATATCCCTGGATACCGTGACAGGATTTTAAGTCAGCCAAGTTCAAACTGAAAATAAGATGCACATTTTTAACGGTGAGGACTGTTAACCCCTGGAACAGATGAGTTAATTTCTCTGTTACTTGAAATCTTTAAACCAAGGCTGGAGCTTTTTCTGAGTGGTGTGCTCATGTTCAGCTGCAAGGTGTCAAGGTGAAGGAATCATAGGATGAAATCTAAGGCCTGTGCTATGCAGGTGGTCAAATTTGATTAGTATAAACATCTCTTCTGGTCTTAAAACTGTTATTCTGTGAATTAACAGAGCATTAGGAGTATCCAGAGGAAATGTTAAAAAAAACAACAAACAACTCCCAAACCAGGTTTTGAAATAACCTTCACATATTGACTGAAATTGGCCATGCCCAGAAAATGTCAGTGAGGCCAGCCCTTCTTTATATCATTCTGCTGTGCTTCAGGCTTTGGGCAAGATGAGCGACGAGGTCGCCCCTTGGACCCTGCACATTCAGAGCCCCATGCTGCCCAGCTCCTGGCCCCGCCCACCCAGCTGGGAGCCATGCAGCTGTGCAGCTCAGCGTGCTGCCTTGGGCCCTGCACACTCTTTGGCTGGGCCTGGCTTTGGGACAGGCTGTTAGAACAGCAAGGGATGCGTTTGTGCTGCTGTGTTATCTAGGTACACATGAGAAGCTATAGAGGTGACTTGGCAGCATTTGATGGTTTGTTAGAAATGTTAACTCCATTTTAACCTTGTAAGTAGAATTTCCTTTGTTTTATTTTAATAACAATGTAAAACCATAACAATTCAGAAAAATATTTAGGTCAGAAAATTTGCCATTGTTTCTGTGTTTGCAACTCCCACTGAAGATAATTTAACATTTTGTAGCACCAAAGTCAATAAGAATGGCATCTTCTAATCCAAGGTCAGAATTTGGTACTCAAAGCAATAACATTTCTCTAATCTATCCCTGAGATGAAATGAGAGCAATGGATGTACACGAAGGATGAATTTAGGCCCTCCCACCTCATGTTCAAAATGAAGTCCTGTGATTAAGTGTACAATTCTTTCCTGGATGTCACAGATTCTGGGACTTTATGGGACTTCCGTGACTTCTGGGGTAGGGCTAGAGTAGCATCCAGCCCCAGGTGAGGTCTGTGAAGCAATGGGCACCAGAACAGAGGCCTTGGTCAGCCCTGAGATCACTGGAGCAGTGGCCATTGTGGTCACCGACACTTGACCAGCAGGACAGCTCATTGGTGACCCACCATCACAGTAGTGGTCAGGGCTGGGTTAGTTCCTCTCAGGCTGGTGCAGCAGTGATCAGACCCTGATGCAGGAGCAGTGGCTGGGCTGGAGGAGCTGTACGCCGTGCTCTGTTTGATCCTCACACCCCAGAGTATTTTTAGTAAAAGTCAGGGATTGGTCACGGGCTCCCATGAATTTTTATTCATAGCCCACAACCTGTTCCTGATTTTTGCTATCAATACTGGAGGGGCAAAGGGGACAATTTCTCCAGGGCCTAGCAATTCTAGAGGGCCTAGGGCTCCTGGCCACTACTACTACAGCAGTATCCAGAGCCCCAGACCCCTTTAAATCGCCATGGGAGCCTCACGCTGTGTGCTCTAGAGCCCCATGCCAGGCACTCTGGGTATTCAGAGGGCCAGTGGGAGATGGGGAGGCAGGGTGGTCCAGGCGGCATTGAGGGCTGGCTGTTGTCCCTTCTGCCCAAAGGACTGCCCCTTCCAGGGGCACAGATCCACTATTCCCCACACTGCCTTTGTCCCAGCAATCCTGTTCATCCCCCAAGCCCCCCCCCCCCCATACAATCTTAACCGTATCTCTTCAGAGGCATATACATGTTACATGTATTGATGTTACCACTAGATGTCAGGGCTGCTCCATACAATTGCATAACTGAAACTGTTTAGTAAGATAGTAATAGAGATGTAGCCGTGTTAGTCTGGTCTTGCTGAAACAAAAGACAGGACGATGCAGCACTTTAAAGACTAACCCACTTCCTCATGCCAATTTTCTTCCACACTTTGATCTGAGGAAGTGGGTCTGGCCCACGAAAGCTCATCACCTAATAAACCATCTTGTTAGTCTTTAAAGTGCTGCATAGTCCTGTCTTTTGTTTAGTAAGAAAAACACTTAAAATACACTGCAAAGAAAGAAAGATACAAGTCTGGGTGATCACTAACAGACATAGCTTTGGCATTTTATCTGATGGTCCTTCTCAGCATCTTCCTTGCTTTAATCTCATCAGCTAGTGTCCACTCTACAAAACTGCTCCCTCCAAAATGCTCCATAGACTCTTCAATGCCGTATCTTCAATCACACCACATGCTTCTTTTATAACATCCCAGCACATCTCGGGTCAGTGCCGCTGTCTTTTTCATTCGGTCTTGATCAGTTGGCCCTTTTTACCCACATTGTTCTCAGGACTGCGCTTTCCATGACCCACATGCCATGGGAGCCTCTACCCCCTCATTTTTTCAATGGTGGCTGTTATTTTGACTTTGTTGCTAACATACACATTCCTCGCACGACTTTTTCATGCTTACACCACTCATCCAGCTCAACATTTGCATTTCTATGAAACAGATCATTGTTCATGTTTCTCCTTTGTCGTCCAACACTCACTGCCAGACATTCAAACTGGATGAACTGCCATTTTATAGACTTCCCCTTTTACTCAGCCTGGTAGCTTGCTGTCACATACTCCACCACTTCTCTCTCTACATTTGAGCCAGGCATTTAATATCTTTACTCTGATTTCATACTCCATTTTCCCTTTTTACTTGACTCTGGAACCCCTGATGCTTGAAACTTTTCATTTTTGGTACTGCCTGCCCAGCTGGTTTCATGGATAACTGTTCAGTGCTCACATTCTTGAAATTACATGCCCTATATACTTTGTTTTTATTCTGCTTATTTTGAGCCTTTATTTCTCCAACACATCTCCTTGTTTGTTGTCTAGACCATGCTGTCTAGACTAAGTTTCTACTCATTGCACAGAACAGAGGTGGGCAATAAGTGACCTATGGATCAGATGTGATTCGCCAGAGTTAGCCCCTTCTGGACCACCAGTGAGTATTTACTTGCGTGACCGCAGGTATGGGGCCAGTGCAGCTCCCATTGGCCATAGATCTCCATTCCCGGCCAATAGGAGCTGCAGGAAGTGGTGTGGACCAGGCTACCGCTTCCTGCAGCTCCTATTGCCTGAGAACGATGATTCACAGCCAACAAAATCTGCAAGCAACCATACCTGAAAATGTGCAGGTAAATAAAATGCCAGTGGCCCACGAGTGGCTAACCTTAGTGAACTGCATCCAGCCCATGGGCCACTTATTGCCCACGCCTGGCAAAGAACAATATCAACTGCAAACAGCATGCACAAAGATGTCTACATTTGTGAGTTTTTGTTGTGAAGGTATCTAGGATATGGATAAGCAAGAATCAATACTGACTCCTGACTCCCATCTGTTTTTGATAGGTCATCCATTTCCCTACCAGAAGTTCTGACTATTAATGTTGTAGCTATATATTTGGCGTGAACAAGCTGCATATAAAGTTCTAGTACATCTTATTGGACAGTTCCTTCCTGACAAAATTAAATGAAGTATTTAATTGATGTCAGAACATATTTATTCTTTCTTTGCCTGCTCTTTTTCATGTGGTAGTCAGATAATGTCAATGTTTATAAATGCCATTATTTGAAAATAAAAACTCTTCCATTATTCCTCAAGCAGAAATGTATAATTTCAGAGTCAAGTGGCTACAATGACTCACTTTTCAGATTACAACAACAAACTAATAGCTACACTAGTGTTACATTACTGATTGACTTCTATTGTCTTGCTCATTCTTTTTTGCTTTTTACACAGGAATTATCTAGGCAATCACAGCTTGTGGTCCCAGTGTACATCACCTGAAAATATTGTCCCCTGGAATTTGACCCTTTTTTCCTTACTCCTGATCATGAGTGGCATTCAAGCAGTGCTTTGTGCCATACAGGTTGTCAATGGACTATTGGGAACAATCTGTGGGGACTGCACCTGTTGTGGATGCTGTGGGGTAAGCAAATTTGTGTCTTCCTCATGTGAGTCCATGGATTGATGCTGGGTGTAAATAGTCTTGCCCAATGCAATTTAATTGCAAAACTCCCAAGTGTGTTATAGGGAAAGGATTTTAATGTTGTGGTCAGTGACATACTGTGGTAGAGCTAAAAGATACCGGGCCAGGTTGTCTGTGCTGTTGAGTTCCCTTTGCAATGCTCTGGTAGCTTAAAGAAAAATTAAAACTCCCCTAAAAAAGTGTACACCTGGGGATTTCCTGGGCATAGGGGAATCCTTAAATGGCACAAAGCTGGTGGCGCCAGCTCTGCCATCACTATCAGCCTTCATGAGGTACAGGGCATGTCAGTATGCTGGGGGTTGGTGAGGGGTGAAGCCCACAGTGCTCTGGTGAGCTCGACCGGCACAACAGCCCGAAGGTGGATTTTTCAGTAGGTGCAATTCAGGCCAGCCCTGAATCTGCTGTTGGAACAGGCCCAACACGGCCTTGGGAGAATTTGTTCTGCAGTCCATTGCAGTTCAAAGCCCCAAAGCACTCACACTTGTTGAAAACATAATCAGAGTCTCTGAAAAGTTCCAAAGATTGAAACAACCCACATGTCTACAGAGCTTATCTAATAGCCTCCTATGGGGCTTGTGAAATAATAATAAAATCAATCGAAAATCACAGGAATATTAACCAATAGAAGCAACCTTTGTATTTTTATTCTTCCAGGATAATGGAGCGGTTTAAAGAGAACAAGGATTGCAGAAATCTCATCGTACGAGGAGACTCCCTTTAAAGGGACATCTATTGTGTGAGCCATGGTGAGCCGTGTTCCTCTGCACTGTCCCTGACTAAGAAGGTCTATGAAGGGTATTTCACCCATTGTGCTAAAGCCCTGATGGCCCTTTTCTCCTGCCATTGAAATCCCACGTTAGAATGAATGAAGTGGCTCCTTAGCTATTCCATTTATATTTATTTTTGTAAAACAGCTTCCATTTGAAAAAAGCTACATCAGATTGGACATTCATAATCTCTCATTGGCGACTGATGAATGCTGCTAACAATGCGACAAACCTACAACTTTCTTTTGACTAAAAGTTAGATTTGTTTGTACATAGAAAAGTGAAGATTTCTGTGCTCCAGGCCTGAGCTCATTAAAATTCTCTTTGTAAAATGTCTTTCGGTTATTAATTATGTTCATTTGAAGTCTAATAGGGTTTTTCTTTTCATTGACTGTGATCAATGCTGGACACTAATCATACACAATATGATTACTAGTCTAGGGGGTAGCCATGTTAGTCTGTAACTTTAAAAAATAATAAGTAGTCCTGTAGCATCTTAGAGACTAAAAAATCTCTATATCTATATATATAGTATCATGAGCATTTGTGGGCAAAAAGTGGGTTTGGCCCATGAAAGCTCATGATACTATATATATATATATATATTTGTTAGTCTCTAAAATGCTGCAGGCCTACTTGTTTTTTAAATGTGATTACTGCATATATAAATACAAGGGTTATAGCAGCAAGAATGTTGAGTGGTGTAGCGTACAATCTTGTTACTAAGTCCCCAAGTTATTCCTGATTCATATGAGGAATTAAACAAACAACAACAACAACAAAAGGAAAATGCATAGCAATTAATGATGATGACCTTGCTCAGTCCAACATTGCCTTAGAGCAGGGGTGGGGAATCTTTTTTGGGTTAGGGGGCTGCTGCCCCACAGAAAAATCAGTTTGGTGCCTCACACAAGTGTGAAGCAAAAGAACAAAACTAAACAAAACAAACTCTCACTGATGTAGCCCCCACCAGAGAAGGAGAAGGGCACTCCCCACAATCCCCTCGCACACCAGAACATAGTAACTTTTGTATGCTCCAGCCCCGGGGATCCATGCAAGCTAAGGGCCACATCCAGCCCCTGGGCCTGAGGTTCCCCATCCCTGCCTTGGAATCACTCACTATTTGCTATCAGAGGTATAACCACAGACACACCTGAGCAACTTTTGATCTGGCTAACAATAGTAGTGAACTTGTGACAGAACCAACTAGTGCAACCCCTGCTTCCTGGTTGCATTGCTATTGTTGCTCAAGAGATCTAGATCAGAGCCTGCTGCTGTCACCCTTCTATGTGCATGGTAGATGTAGATAATCAACCAATGAAGTCAACACATGGGGATGGAGGCCTACTCTGAAGACTCATCCTTTATTCTACTTGAAAAAGGCAAAATTGATAGCTGCAAAGATAGTGACAACTCTGCATGATGGTCATAGGAGAGCAGCACCACCCTCAGATGCTTCTCTCGTATAGGCCAAATCCTGAAGTCACAGGTGCCAAACTCCACCATATTAGCCATGGTGTTCCAGCTTATAATAAGTATTGAGCTGTTTGCTGGCAAATGTGACAAAGGGGAACAGCAGGAAGTAGGTGATGCACATGTTGCAATGGGGAAGGGAGAGACCAGGAGCTGTGGGAGGCCTGAGGCGACGGAGCGTGCAGCAGCCCCCTCCTCTGAGAGGCACCGCGGCAGAGTTAGCGAGTGGGACAGGAGTGTAGGGGGTAGCGGGTGTCCCCTGCATTTGCGGGCTCTGGCACGGAGGCTGGACTGCAAGTGACTGCTACAGGGAAACCTGAACCAGCAAAAAGCAACCCCTCCCTCCCCCACCGCCTCCATGCAACATAACTTTTGGCAGCAACTGCCCCTCCCCCCCATGCCACTGCAGTCAGCACTGCTGAATGGGACATTAAAAGTCAGGTCAGCAGCACAGTGAGACTAAGGCAGGCTCCCTGGCTGCCTTGGCTGTGAGCAGCTCAGAAGTAATTGGCATGACCAGCTCCTAGATGTAGGAGTGGCCACGGAGGCTCTGTGCTCTGCCCCTACCCTGAGCACCAAATCTACAGCTCCTATTGGCTGGGAAACACAGTCAATGATGGCGGCATTGGGAGATGGGGGCTGTGGCACACAGAGCCCCTCGGCCATTGTGCCAAAGAGCTGGAGAGGCTACTTACAGGAGCCACTGGAGGTAAGCCCACCCCAGAGACCATACCATCTCCTGCACACACCCTGCTGAGCCCTCTCCTGCAAGCATATGCCTCAGGTTAGGGCTTTTTTTGCCAATCTCATGATTTTGGAGAGATCTGACTAATGTTTTTTTGATCTCTCCAGCTTGGAAACACTCCCCCTGTGACTGATCAGCTGAGACTGATCAACAAGCCTGCAGGGTGCTCACTTGGAAGTGGTTGGACTTCTATTAGCACCTATGGCAGGTTGTCTCTCAGGCAAATAGTTGGTGGGAACCTGTAAGGCATAGCTAAGATCCTGGGTCAAAGGGAAATAACTGGGTTCATACTTGGAATTTATGTTAAACTGTTCCATTGTAAAGTAATAGTGCTGACAATATATATATATATAGTAACTGAAACCCCCATTTTAACCATTTTGTACCTTAAACCCCATTTTAAACTTTGTACCTTTTTAAAGTTAGGGTGTGTGCGGGGGGGGAGGTGCAGAATCTGTGTGAGAAGGAATAACTCCCTGAAGCCAGCCTCTCTGGAGACCAGCTGCCAGCATCACCTTGATGGCTGAAGAACAATGCAAGTGAGCCCTGCAAAAGAACCCACTCAAGAAAGAGAGTGAGGAAAGCTCCATCAAGAAAAGATCAAAGTCCCATCTGCTGCAAACTGAGGACTCATGGTCATACAATGTCCCGGGGCAGTGGGACAGCACAAGAGCTATGGACTAAAACATAAAAAGATGAGTGCAAAATTATAGCATTGGGGCTTTTGGTTCTACAATCATCCTCCAGGAGCATCAGTGCGCACTGACATGACCAGTGAAATAGCATGAGCAACTGAGGCTGGTAATTATATCCCATCTGTAGAACTGTGTATATGTGTGGTGGATAATTTTAGTAGATAAACAAGAACGAGCAGACTCTTGTTAGGGGTATGAAATGAATTCTGCCATCACAATAAACGTGGCATATTGCCTTGTCCCCCTAACAAGAGTCTGCTAGTTCTATTTCTACAAGTGAAAGAGTAAACGTGCTTGGAAAGTGATAATTAAAAACAACAACAAAAAACCCCCCAAACAAACCACAGTTAGAACCTAACTTATACCTGTTGACCATGAGGTGAAGGGAAAAGAAGGACTGGGGACTCCTCCAAAAAATTTCAGTCCCTTAGGTTTTCTGAAACTCAGCCACATCTTTTTATGTAGGGCTGTCTTCCTGAAACCACCATTCTGTGCCCTTTGTCTTACAGAGAATACTACTTATGTAGGCTACACCGTAGGTATATATAGGACTTCATGGCCTTGCAGGCACGGAGCCTTGGTAAGCTGGTCACAAAGATGTCAAATAGGGCAGCATGCATGTACTGTGACTGGTATTAATAAAAAGGGGCCTTAATAATGCATTGCACAAGCAGTTATAAAATGATGGCATCAAAGGTAGCTGAAAACAGCTGCTGCATCCATTTGCTCCTCTACGGGACTATGGAATGTGATACCATCTTTTACCCTAGCACCTGTTGATGTAACTATCTTACACGTATATTTTCATTAAAGGTTAACAGCTGTCCTATGCCTGATAGGGCTTGTCTTGGGAGCAAAGAATGTGTCTTATCTGTGATCTGAAATGAGATTGGTAACTGCACAGTGCACATGTTTAATGCCATTAATATAAATCTGAGATGCACTAATGAATAGCCAACAGGAAGGTGCAGATGCTGTCTAAAATAACTAGTTCATCATGAGCATAAGTTTCCATTGAGCCCAATTGTGCAATAATTATGTCATGTGAGCTAAGACAAGACACTCACATTTCCTTTTGTAATCAGAGCTGCATTTGATCATGTGTGGGTCTGTCATGGGGAGAGCATCAATCTTACAGGACATGGATAATGAACAGTTGGACCAGCTGACTTTGGATTTCTAAGGGAACACAGTATCCATGTTTCTTGCAGCCTCGTTCCATATATCACGAGTGGCAGTCCCTTGGTGTAGTTCACCTCAAGATACCTTTTTGTTTCTAATGTAAATTCAGTAACATTTGAGGGCTGATTAATGAAAACAGAGGCAAAGTGCCAAGAAAAATTAAGGCGCAGAAGGGGATGGGCAGATTTTATTTCAGACATAGACAGAACTATGAGATGAGAATAAAAGAAGTTAGGGGCAGAAAGAAAGAGCAGTGATAGAAGTGGGTAATATGGGAGCACAGAATTGGAGACACAATGACAGCTTATACCCTACAATCATTACACAGTGGCTGAAAGCATTTAAATGATATCATACAAATGGTACAGTGCAATGAGAATGCAGAAACCCAGACAGCCAACAGAAGAATGAACTCATCACTATTAGTTAATGGTGGAGTCTCTGAGATTTTATAGCCATCTGAATCAAGATTAATCTTTTCAGAAACATTGGTTGCCCTGTGAATGACTGACTAGGATGCTGAAGGGAGTAGTTTGGATTCATGTAATGGGAAACATTTATCAAAAGGGAAATGCACAAATATATTTCATAACTCAGGGTGCGTTCACACAGCACCCTTACCTCGAAATAAACTGAGCAATTTGCACTATGCTAATTGCATAGCTTATTTCAGTGTTATTTCAAAATAGCTTATTTCAAAATTTGGCACTGTCTCTACACAATGCCAAATTTCAAAATATGGCACTATTTCAAAACGTTCCTTATCCCTCGTGCAATGAGGTTTACAGGGACGTCAGAATAGCGAGCCTGTTATATTTCTATACCAGAGGTATCCCGAAATAGCGCCACTGTGTAGACATAGCCTCAGATTACTGGTTGGGCTCTTGAGTTTCATTGACCCTGTAGTGTAATGGCATACTAAGCTGAATTATACTGTGCCACCAGTAGGTGGCAATGTATGTAAAATGCCTTATTTAAAGGAAACTCAACTGTACTGCTGGCAGAGCATTAAAAAATCTGATGATGAACACAACTGGCATGTATAAGTGAGCTCAGTAGCCAGTCGCTAGCTGGTGCAGAAGTTTGTAACAGTCTAACTCTAGTGACCTGAGTTTAACTTTCAAGCTCCGTGTTATGAGGCTGGTGCCCCTGGATGGCCAAATGCTATGCCTCCCCCTTTGCATTTAGTTCTCCGGGTTCACCAAGCTGAATACAATAATCAACATAGTGCCATTTATCAG